TCAAACAAGCCAATAGCACCCAACATCTCCCATTTCCAGATAGCAATACTAGCTACTCTGCTCACGGATTTCATACTCAAAGCATTGCCCACTACATTGGCCTTCTCTGGATGATAATGCAACTTGAAATTGTAATCTTCCATAAACTTCATCTACCTTATCTGTCTCAAATTTGAGTCCTTCTATGAAAATAGATATTTTAGACTCTTGTGATTGGAAAACATCTCAAATCTCTCCTCGTACAGATAATGCTTCCAAATTTTTAAGGCAAAAATCACCGCCGCTAACTCTAAGTCGTGTGTAGGATAATTTTTCTCATGAGTTTTCAATTACCGTGAACCATAGGCTACAATAAACCGAATAACCCAAACCCTTTTCAAAATAATCGAAATTAGAATAATGGTGAGTCTAACCTTAAGCTCTTGGAATGTTTTTTCATAAGCCTCACTCCACACAAATCTAACTCCTTTTTCTTATCAACCTAGTCAATAGGGAAGTCAACCTAGAAAAATCCTTCACAAAACGTCAATAATACCCAGTTAAGCCTAAGAAACTCCGGATCTTAAAGGCATTCTTAGGTTGCTCCCAATCTTGTATGGCGTCTATCTTAAATGAATCTATAGTCACCGCTTCTCTGGACAACACATGGCCTAGAAACTTAACTTTGTTGAGCCAAAACTCACACTCATTAAACTTCGCACACAAACAATGTGCTCTAAGCAACTTAAGTACAAACAGCAAGTGTTCCTTGTGTTCCTCCTCGGAGGGTAAGTAGGCTAAGATATCGTCAATGAAGATGACCACGAATTGATCTAAGAACTCACAAAAGACCCAATTCATCAAGTATTTAAAGAATCCAGTGCATTGGTTAGCCCAAAAGGCATTATTAAGAACTCATAATGGCCATATCACATACGAAATGTCATTTTCTGAATATCTTCCTCCTTCACCCTCAATTGGTGATACTCGATCTCAAATTAATCTTCAAAAAACAACGCAACACCTTCAATTGGTCAAACAGATCATCTATTTACAATAATAGGTACTTTTTCTTAACAGTTACCCAATTCAACTTTCAGTAATCAATGCACATCACAATGTGCCACCATTCTTCTATACAAAGAGAGTTGGTGCTCACTTTTTGAAGATACATCCTTTAGTCTATTGCTCATGGCTCTCCTAGTACTCTTAAAATAGGCATTTAAAACCTCAGCCTCAAGTGAAGGTACTTCGTCCACATCTGGAAAGGGTTCAATAGTTTGTACTTGAGGTTAAGTAAGCACTTGAGGTTGTTGACAAACAAAGGGGAAATCAGAGTCTGAAGGTTCAAAAACCTTTGGGGTAGATATAGATAAGGTAGGGAATGGACATGAAGAATGGGTTTTAAGAGATAAGGTGTCAATCCTCCTCCTACTCCAAACCGCAATGGGGATGTGATCATCCCCATCCTTTTTCTTCTTCTATTTTTGGTTGTGAAATGGGAGTTGGGAGTGTCGAAGAAGCTTTAGATTGACCAACTTCTTTGTCAGCAGATGAAGTTGCAATTTTTCTTTTTTTGGCTCTTTTTAGCCATAAGCTTGGCTAGAGCTTGTTGCTTACTAATTGAAGGCTTTCGTGTTGGTTCAAGGAATAGAGACAAATGAAAAATACTTATAGCTTACTCACAAGTAGTTAAGTACAAACACTTGAATATAAATACATAAATGAAAATCTTCCAAGTCACTCATGCGCATAGGTATAAAGTGTGCAGATTTGGTTAACTAGTCGACAACTACCCACACGACATCATTACCCCTATTGAGTCCTTAGAAGACCCACAACAAAATCTAACGTGACATGCTCTCACTTCTACTCGGCTACAGGTAAGGGTTGCAACAAACCCGTTGGTCGCTGATGCTCGGCCTTCACTTGTTGACAAGTAAGGCACCTCGAAACAACAAGGCTACGTCTCTCTTCATCCCCCTCCATCAAAATTAGAGACTAAAGTCATGATACATTTCCATGCCTTCCATGTGTACCGTAAGGCGTGAATGGTGAAACTTTCGGAGTACCTCCTATCTACAAGACTTTGGCACGAAAAGGCGGTCTAGATATCTTATACTAGAGTCCAAATGGACATTAAGCCCTTCTCTACCTTTCTACTAGATATCTTTCCTCGTATAACTTTTACTTCTTGATCACTTTATTATGCCTCTGTAACCCGGTCAACTAAGGTAGGTTATGCAACTCCGGTAAATAAAGTGGCTAATTTAACGAACTCGCCAAGATACAAGTCAAACTCGCTAATAGCGCCCAACATCTCCCACTCCTAGATAACATTACTCACCACTATGTTCACAGATTTCCTACTCAAAGCGTTGGCCACTACATTGGTCTTCCCCAGATGATAATGCAACTCAAAGTCGTAATCCTCTATAAACTCCATCCATCTTCTCTGCCTCAAATTCAAGTCCTTTTGTGAGAATAGATATTTCAGACTCTTGTAATCGGAAAACACCTCAAATCTTTCTCCATACAGGTAATGCCTTCAAATTTTTAAGGCAAATATCACTGTCGCAAGCTCTAAGTCCTGTGTAGGATAGTTTCTCTCGTGTGTTTTCAATTGTTGTGAACCATATGCTACCATTTTCCATTCCTGCATCAATACACAACTCAAGCCTTCCCAAGACGCGTCACAATATACCAAACAACTCAAACCCCTCTCCAGAATAATCAAATGAGTGTAACCTTAAGCTCTTGGAATGACTTTTCACAAGCCTCACGCTATACAAATCTAACCCCTTTCCTCGCCAATCTAGTCAATGGTGAGGCCAATCTAGACAAATCTATCACAAAACATTGGTAGTACCTGGCTAAGCCCAAGAAACTTCAGATCTCAAAGCCATTCTTAGGTTGTTCCCAATCTTGCACTGCATCTATCTGAGATGAATCCACGGTCACCTCTTCTCTGAACACCACATGGCCTAGGAACTTAACTTCGTTGAGCTAAAACCCACACTTCCCAAACTTAGCATATAATCAGTGTGCTCTAAGAAACTGTACCTTCAACTCACACAAACTCGGCTAGTGCAAACCTATATGGCGCCATGGAAATCGAAGGCGTGCTTGGTGCTAAGTCGATAGAGAACTTAATCTCTCTATGTGGTGGTAACTCAGTGAGATCCTCCGGAAAGACATCTAGACATTCTCGAACTACTCTCGGTAATTCACCCTAAATCATATTACCCTCATTAGCTACAGAGATGGCAAAAAGGAAACTCAACTCTCCTCAACCCTAAGATCATACAACGGAGGAATAAGACTATTGCATGGTTACACATAAAGTAGAAACACTCTCCTAATAGTGTACACACCGACACCTTCCTACGATGGCAATCTATTAAAGCCCGGTAACAAGTCAACTAATCGATACCCATAATTATGTTGAAACCATGCATATCGAGAACAATAAAGTCCAAAGAGTGCTGACAATTTGCAATCTCAATCTCACAGGATCGGCATACACGACCCAATGTCACTCTACTCTGTTATGTATTTGGTTACGATTTGAGTGTAGAGTTGCGAAAGTAGTATGGAGTTTCGAATTATGTATTTGGTTATGAGTTTTAAAAATAATTTCTTAATTGAGTTTTGTTTTATGTGTTTGGTTACTATTTGAGTATAGAGTTGTTTTTAAATTTAAAATATTAACATTTTAAATTATTTAAAATTTTTGAATATTTAAATTATTTAAATTTTTACGATTTAAATTTTTTGAATATTTATTTTAATTTTTTACTTATTAAATTTTTTAGATTATTTAAATTATTTAAATATTTATGATTTAAATTTTTTGAATATTTATTTTGAAAAAAAATTATTTCCTTTGTAGTATTTTCAATTAAAAAATTGATTAATGTTATTTTCTGTTAATAAAAAAAAAAACTAATTGAATTTTAAAAAGAGTTTGGTTATGAATATTGATTTGAATTTTCAATAGTGTGAAAAGTAATGTGTTTTGTTATGAGTTATAACAATTTAAATTAAGTTTTGAAAACTCTTTCCAAAACTCATAACCAAACAATTTTTTTTACTTCACATGTCAAATCAAATTTTCAAAACTCAATTCCACACTCAATTCAAAAACCATAACCAAACAAATTTTCTACACTCAAATCATAATTTCACAACTCACAAACTCAAAATATAACTCATACTCTCAAATTATATTTACAAAACTTTACCAAACGCAACCCAAATTTTTTTTTTGTGCAAAACTGAAAATTTTGTGTCTATAAAAAACATGATGATAGAACATTGATGTGCAAAACTAAAAAAAAAAAAATTAAAAATCAAAAAACTAATAATATTTTGAATTTTAAAACTAGAAAAAACTGTTAATGTTTACGGTTTTATTAGATAGTTGAACCAAACTAATAAGTAGAAGGACAAAAACGTTTAATCTCATGATCTGTTTTTTTCATCAATTAGTGAAACAATTATATGAAATATTACTATGAAAAATTGATAATGTTCTTAGTTTTAAAAATTTAGAAAAACTGATAATACTATCAGTTTTATTAAATAAGACTTATTGGTTTAAAAAATCTTAAATAAAACCTGAACTACCATAATATTTGTAAATAAAGCTTTTAGGTAATTAACTCTTTTTTTTTTTTTTTTTGAATTCCAACATAAAGCATCACATGAATTAACTCTAACGTTGTATTTGGTTGGAGAATGTGAAAAAAGAAAGGGAAAAAATGTGTAAAACTAGATGAAATTTAGATATATTTTATTTACATTTTATCTACATTTTTACTTTTCCTTTTTAAATTCTTTTTTAAATCTCCCAACCAAATTTAATGTAAGAATATTGAATAATTTCTTAATCAATTGAACCGAATTTCATGTTTAAATTCTAAAAAGAAACAATGAGGCATGGAGTTGATTCCACTGCTATAAAAGTCCCCATTGCTTCTCACAAAATACCCCCAACAAGAAATAAAGTAACTCAAATCACAAAACAATCCTTATCATTTTTTCCTGCGATGCTCCCTCTGTCATAGGTGAGAACCCTAACCCATTGAAGAGAGCAACAACAATAACATTCCACAGCTTGTAAACAATCAAGCAAATCCAAAATCCTAACTTTTCTCCAACAAAACCAGCTCCCACACAAACAAAAATACACAATAAAAACATAGTCAACAAGACCAGCAGTCACAAACACTTATGATGGCTGGTAGCAGGAAAACATAAAAAGCACACACAGACAACTCATATCATGCATGCAGATATGATATACAGATATCTTACACAATACACACTGCACTTTTTCCTAACATTAATTCTCCATTCAATCATCCGCCAATGCCCTAACTGCAAGGCTCGATCACTCGTCTCTGACGTTCCATCTTTCTGGGACTTCAAACGAATCCCATTCGATTGTCTTTGGAACTTTGACCTTATCGTTTCTTAGCAGATTGGTCTCTACAAAAGTGGTTTTGCGTCCAGAGGAAGACACTTTTGATTTGGAAAGAAAGTCAGTGGATACTCTGTAATAAACCCTGTAAAAAACAGCTATATGATCTGAAACCACTGATCCCTCTTCCTGTAAATTATCAGTTTTGATGCTCAGGTTTATGGTCTTAAGGATATGTGGGTCCGTTAAAGACACCGAGTAACTTGGATGGCAATTAAAATAAATTGGGCCATCACTTAACTTAGACTGAGCAACAGCTAACAGAGATTGTCTGAAGTCAAGGAGGCGACGATCCCGCAGACAGATTAGCACAGAGCTGTTTAATCCACTCGCAGTCAGCGGCTTCACAGCAACTTGGACTAACCCAAAATGGAGGTGCCTGTACTTGCTCATATGCTCTTCGATTGCTCGTTTTTCGAGCAATTGAAACTCCTCGAATTGACCTCGGATGAAGACTGTATTTTCTAGTTTTTTGATCTCGTAGGTTCGTGTGAATTGGAAGATTCCTCTCCTGTGGTAGACATCATGAAGAGGGACCTTTGGGGGATTCCATTTCTGAAGGAGATGGAGTTGTTCCGTGTTTTTCTGCGCTCTCTCTTCTTCCCATGTATTGGTACTACTGGTTGCCATCTATGCTAATTTCTTGGAACAAACACTTGGTGCTCAAAGTAAAAGAACACTTGCTAGTAGGAAAGCAACAACATAAAAAACTGGGTTTTAAACACTTCCTCTAGTAAATCCAATACTCCAATTACAATTTTGGTGCTCACAAATTTGTGTGTGTGAACATTCGGAACTCAAAACCGGAGAGACAAGGCGCATAATGATAATATAGCCTCAGCAAGTTATGATAAACTAATAAATAAATTATTATAACAAAACAAAATATACATAATTAAACTTCCACTAGTGTGAAACAAAAACAAAAACAAAAAAGCAAACAAAACAAACTCCCACTAGTGGCTTATTTTCTTTATCATTCAATAATGCTCACCATCGGTTCCACCGAGTACATGAATAATAAAATTTAATATTTATACTTAAAGTAATCAATAAATATCGTGAACAGTTAACCAAAAAGATTGGCCTAGTGCGTGTAATTTGGGGGCTTTGGACGCGTAACCTGATCCGAACAACCAATCATCAAAAAAAAATATCATGAACAATTTATCAATTGAACTTTCTATATTTCTTTATGTGTCAAAAATATATATAGATATATATATCATTTTGAGAATACTCAATAATTATTACAAACATCGTAAATTTGAGATTATAAGTTTTAAAGTTCAGTGCTTGATCCAATGCTTGAATTTTCCTCGAGTTTTTGGGAGACAAGAAGGCAAAAGAAGAGCCAATTGATGTAGTTTTGAGATTGTATTTTTATGTTTTTTTTTTCTTCTTCTTAAATTTCATTCCTAAAACCATGTCGGTTAATAAATCTCAAACCATTGGATCATCTACTTAATGTGTATTGCAAAGAATCTCAAATACTTCAATTTAATCACTATTAGCACAGTCAAAATTTAGAAACTAAAATGAAATTGTAGCTAAAAACTGATAAGTTACAATATTTAACCCTCTAAATGGGAAATTTTATTGATGTTTATTCAACTCATCTTGTTTGCTCCTAAAACATGTTACTCCAAATCATAAAAATTATTCAATACTCTTGGAACAAGTATAGGGCCTGGACTTCCCCTTGGTAGATGATATCTGCCAGAAGGACTAGGCAGTGGTCCATTGTGGGGACTTGCCCTTGGTGGTGCTCTGCCAGGGGGAAGGGAAGTTTGTGGTGGTGGTCGATGAGGACAACGAGAACTGGTTTTACATTTTCTAAAACAGAAACACTGAAGGGAGATAGTGGTTGAAACCTTCTGCATAGGCCACCTTGAAAACCCTTGAGTTTGCAAGTGTGAGTGCAATTGTGCTGCAGCTTGGCGTTGGGGGAACATAAGCCTCCTTTTGAGTAGCAAAGCCTTGCTTCAGTGTACCTCGCTCTTTCTTCTGCAATCACAAAACCACCAAACAAATGAACCACCTTGCAAATATTTACTTTATTTACTGAATAGTATTCAAATTTCTTTACAAATCTTTTGCTTTTTAAGTGCATCTAAAAAAATTTTTTTTTTTTTTTTAAAAAAAAATTTGTTAAAAACCATGGATACAAATGTTGGAAATGGTTATAAAATTCTGAGTAAAATCAAAATTTTTTTCCTAAGTTTGGTCTATTTTTTAGGTGGGCCCCGTACGTCGATTTACACGGGTCAAAGTGGTAACGCATTCTATGCTGCGTTGTGATTCACGTGGTATATTTGGTTGTTCAAAACCATTACCGAGTGAATGGGAAATTGAAGCCAAAGTGTGGTCCATGGAAATGGAGTTTTTGTGGAAAACCCTTAAAGGTTTGAATAAGGCTTGTCCCACATTGATTTGGTGGGAAGTTTTGAATGGGTTTAAAAGGCATGAGTTTGGTACTTGGGGTGTGCCCCAAGGGGTACTCAAGTGTTTTAGAGGGAGAGGTTATGGGCTAGACCCATTGGACCCAAAAATCACCACACGCACGTGTGCCGCTACTGTTCATCCAGGCTGGGCTTGGGCACGGGTGCATGGTGTGAGATTGGGCTTGTTCGGCCCAATACTAATCTTTTTGGGCCAAAAATATTTGAATTTTATTTTATTTTGTATAAAATAAAATCCAGAATTCAAATGAAACCGGAAATAAACTGGTTTGGTTTTACTGTACATCCAAACAGGGCCCTTCCCGTTTTTGTATCTGTTTAAATTATGAACCCAACAGATTCAAATCTATTTTAATTCAAAACCAACAGGTTTCATACATGTTCAATTCAAAACCAATAGCCACCTTTACATCTATAAATAGACTTGTCTCCCATTTGGATTTAACTCCAATTTTCGTACTCCATCATCTGCTATAAATCTCTGTATTTTGCTACATTTATTTTCTGAAAGAAATAGTGTAAACACTTAGTGTGTTCATAAGGCAAACAATTTGTAGTGCTGCTATTGTTTGTAGTAAATCATTTCATCCTGGGAGATAGACGTCCAAATTCTGAAAGCACCGTGGAGAGGACGAATCTGTCTTAAGGACACAGTGTCAAACACTGGACTTGATCAGATTATAATTCGAACAAATTAAATCAAGTAAGTTATTTAATTTATTTTCAGTGTTATTGTTATTTATTTAAATCAGATTTTAATTTTGGTTTTGTAACAAAATAAAATCTGTTTTTGTTTATTTATTTTTATTTCGAGTTTGATTTTTGTAATCAAACAAATTCTCTCATGTCCTTTATTTTTTTTATTCTGGTTGTTGTTTAGTACACAACAAAATTTAATTTATTTAAATACAGTGAAAATTGTCTAACAATCTTAAGACAGAATCATTTTTGGTATCTTCATTGTATTTAATTTTCTGTAATTTCATAAAGACATATTCTGGTTGGAAAAACAAATAGTGATTTATGCTATTTGACAGATAGTAGTAATATAATGTCTCTTTTCTTTGGCAACTAGTAGTAATATACTGGTGTCATTAACAATTGCAGAATATTAATTTGTATTACAGAAAATTATTGTGGTATTTTATTTTTCTAGTTTTAGTAACAAGGAAAATAAAATTATATTATTTTCTAGTTTTAGTAACAAGAAAAATAAAATTATTTTGTGTTATAATTTATTTTCTGGTTTTAGTAACTAGAAAATTAATTTTGTTAATCAATCATGTAACTTTGTGTTTCGGTTACAATTTGTACATTTTGTACGTGACTTACGGTTTCGTTTGGAAGGTCACCTAAACCCTTTGTAAAAAGGTGTTAGTACTTGGAAGTATTTGATTCTGGAGTTAAATATTAGTTTTACAAACTAATTTCATTTTTATTACGAAAAAACCTTTATGGCAAGTTTTTTCTTTATTGGTTTATTGATTTATTCTTAAATTCTGTGAATAGTTTATGCACTTGAGTCGGAATATATATATATATATATTCACAAGAACATTTTAATGTATATTTAATTAGTTTATTTATGGACTAATCAAACTGATTAAATAAAGATATGTTTTATAGTTTAAAATTTAAAGCGCATTGAATCTTATTTATGGGTTTTTTTTTTATTTCATGATGAAAGTTTTGGGATCTGGCATGATTAATTTATTTTGTTCATTCATTATTTTTAGTTGATGCGTTTGATATGCATGTATTGATATCAACTCAAGTTATTTCTTTAAAAAATAATGTCATGTGAGTTGGAATGATAAATTGATATGTTAACTTTGGACATAAGCAGATTAATTTGAATATTTCTCATCAATTTTGAATGGGTGTTTAAACACCAGAGAAATTTAAACATGAAAATATATGTAGTTATATCGTTCCATTTAATTGGAAGTAAATTTAAGAAATGTTTTATTATTAGTTTGTTTTAAATTTGTGACATAAGATGTGATTAATTATTATTTTACTTGTACAGTAGAATTTGTTAAACCTTAAAACATTATTTTAATATGGAAGTGTCTCTCTTGCATTAGAAAAGATAATTTAGTTTCTTTTATCACAAATATTTTTTGTGACAGTGTTACTTATTCGTAAATGAGTTGCAAGAATTTATACAATCAAATGAGATTTTTGATTTGTTCGTTTCTTAGGCAAAATTTTTATGATAATATGATTTTGTCAAAACATTAATTCTGATTTGTGTAGTCATAATTATTTTGGTTTTTTCATTTGAGATTTATGAATCATGATTTGAAATTTATGAATCTAGCACATCATAGACAACAAGTGATGAATGTTATATGTTGATTTATATTAGAAGTGATAGGGGTGGTGAATATGATGCACCATTAAATGAATTTTGTGCACAATATGGCATTATTCACTAAACTTCAGCACCATACTCTCCTCAACAAAATGGAATTGCTGAAAGAAATAATAGAACCCTAAAAGAAATGATGAATGCCATGTTACTAAGTTCAGGCTTACCACAGAACTTGTGGGGGGGAGCAATTTTGTCTGCTAATTTTGTTCTTAACAGAATACCCCACAAGAAAACCAACAACACTCCTTATGAATTGTGGAAAGGTTGACCGCCTTCCTACAAATACTTAAAAGTGTGGGGGTATTTGGCAAAAGTTGAAGTTCCTGTTCCTAAAAAGACTAAGAGTGGACCAAAAATAGTAGACTGTGTGTTTATTGGTTATGCTCAGAATAGTAATGCATATCGGTTTCTGACTTATAAATCAGACATGCCTGATATAAATGTGAACACTATTATAGAGTCAAGGAATGCTGTATTTTTTGAACATGTCTTTCCTTACAAAAAAAGGATAGGAATTAAGTTCACAGAAAAAAAAAACTTATGATTGTACACAAAGTCAAGAGACTAATGACAATCAAACACAAGAGACTAGTAATGGTCTCGACCAACAGGATTTAACTGATGATGAACCAAGACGAAGTAAGAGAGCGAGAACATCAAAATCCTTTGGTCCAGTTTTTCTGACATACCTGTTAGAAAATAAACCTCAAAGCTTTAAGGCAGCA